TGGCTTTATTATCATCGGTTTCTATGATATTATATAACTTAGCGTATTCCATTTGCCTGTGTTACACCTACTATATTAGTTTAAATGATGTTAGCATGAGTTTAATTCTATTTCAACAACACGACACAATATTCTATTACAACAACTATCCTATGGTTACTTATATAGAAAAATATAACAAATTCATAATATTGCTTATGAATTAAGAGATAATTCATGTCCCCGTATCACGACAATTCTTCGCTCCGAATCAATATTTAATGGCCCATTTCCTGCGACGGCCGCTTCCAACTTAACCGGTCGCGCAACTTGAATGTCTAGTTATGTAAATTGACTCGAAATTGTATATTTCAACATTTGTATTCAAATGATGATTTATCGGGTATTTAAATTCAAAACACTCGTGTTATCTTTATTCAGATACATTTTATAGCAGCGACAAAACATTCAGAATAAGGACATGATAAGTGCTAACCTTTTACGTTCACTAGAAATTTATTAGTTAAGAGCGACAGAGGTAACGCGTCGAAGCGATACTGTTGTGCTAATTTGCTGTTATTCACGGTCGACTGCTTATTATCGTTGTGCATTTAAGTGAGTAAATAAACTCGTTTGTATGAAAACGCGAGCAAGCTATTACAAACTAATGAATCCGCGACATTATCGAACCAGGAGCTGCGTAATGTGACCTCATTCCTGTCATGTCTAATTCATTTCACGTAGCGGTGTTAAATGTCTGAGTTGTTTTTTTATCACTAACCAAACGTATCTCGTAATCAATAGTACGAGTTTTTTGTACTGTAAAAAGCGAACCTAATTCGGTGAGGTTGCAAATAGTTTTTTTACATTAATCACCGTGCCGTGAAGGTTTCCGACTAACCCGGAAAGTTAAAGTAATAACTAATTTGTTTGTATATAGTAAATTTTCATTAAAATATCTTAGAATTTGCGCAGACGAGTATTTGTTCAATTACGTTATATCTTTGTGAAGTCGCAACTATCAGCCAGCCACGAGTTGCAACGTGATCTAAATGATTTATAAACAGAGTTTCATTCAATTAATTATGAATTCGATAAGACGGTACGTTGAACGGACAGACTTGATAATGTTGGAATGTTCCTACACGTAACAATATCGCTTCACTGTGTTTTCTTTAATCCATTTGTTCTTTTACAGTTTTATACATTTTAATTTCAAGCCAGTTATTTTACGCACACCATGTTAAGAATGAGGCGTCGGATGTACGATTGTTGTCGGTTTTTGTTGCCGTTGATGCAATTAATCGTATGTAGTGTTGCAAATGCGAAACAATGTATCAATGCGTAAGAGAACGATGTCGTGTTTACGATTTCACCTCCTTTGTCTCAGAGTCATGCTGCGAAGTATCGTCTATATTTATTGACAGTTACTATATTTCAACAGCGATACTTTGAAGACGAAGAGAACGTATGCCAAGTCGTTTGACCTCATTCCCGAGACTAGCTCTGCGTAAACTCATATTGGGCTTATGAAAACATTGCTATTTATAGTGTAGATCGGGCCCCAGCAGACCGCTCGTATTATTTGTCTGTTTAATAACGCGAACATTCGCCAAGTGCGGCCATGTTTTCAATCCTCGTCGCCATTCTATTTTATTTACGACTCCGTGCCCGCTAAAAGAACACAAAACACTTTTTTTAACCACGGAAGACGAAATTTTAAATATTTATGTACCTATTATTTTTATAAATCCTACACTGTTTAATCTAAAGGCCCATGAGACGCTGTCTAAGCTGTAAAGGCTTCTTTTAATAATAATAATTTCGAAATGTAGACACTTATGTTCCGATGTTTTTTTAAGAAACGTTGTATAGTCAGAAATCACTTTATCCGCCATGTTATCAGTCAGACTGTTGGCGTAGTCTGCGCAACACCCGTTAACATGTCCAAGAATGCACTGAACGGGTTTCTTGTACGCAGACTGGTTTCCACGGAGCCCTGATGGCTTCTACGAATTTGATTCATCGACGTAGCCACATAAATTAACATACTTACATATTCATGATGTTGTCATGGAATATTTTGCATTTCATGTATTTATTTTTATTCTTTTAAGAACTGGTTCTCATATTTTATTTATTATGTTTTATAATTATAGAATTGTAAAGTAATTTATTGCATCATATAAATAATATCTTTCGAAGTGATAAAAAACTAATAGACTAATTCCCAACTAGCAGGTGAAACTTTTATACGCAGAAATGAATAAATGCAGATCAAAATTAAATAAAAATACTAAATTGGTATTTATATTTATCCGAGCACTTTATCTCTAGTCTTACAATTTTTTATCGAAGCTTAAACATAGTATCATTATTAGATAATATAGATAATAGATAACATATCAAAAGATCTGATATTAAAATACATAATATATCAATCAGCAGTCGTTGTCCTACGTAATGAAATGTCTCTTGAAATGATTGATGGTGCACATCTCTGAGTTAACCTTTATTGATACTATTACAATTAAAATTTACCAGTTATTAACAAACATAAGTATATTAGGTTAAAATAAATAATACGTTTCTGGAAATTCTCAAACATACTAAAGTTAAACGCAAATGGTTGTAATTTTCGTATTTCTCCAAAACACTTTATGTTCGTCAATTTCTTGTGAGTCCCGGCAGTATGAAATTGGCCCAACACATTACCCACGAGGTAAATCGGGCGATGCACGCGGTCGAGTGCCCATTTCTCACGTTCGGACCAGTTCTATGGACTGGTTGGGCCGCATGCCGATCAAGAAAGGTGCTCGCGGTGCCTTAAAGGGTGAAATAACCTTTTTTTGTGCTCCCAGCCTCTTAACGTTGTCGGATGTTAGTGCTCGTGCAATCTGCGCTGATATATAAACTGTGTAATTATCAATGTGCATAAATTACTTGCATTGCATACAAATTCAGTTTATTATATCACAAGTAAATCCATATATCCAAATGATACGCCACATATCATGTCAATTAGAGTGACATGATTGAGGCGTATCAGTACCTGTCTAGTTCTACGTCAGGACATTGGTGCCTGTAAATAATCTATATCTCCAAATATATTTTTGAAAGATAAGAAATGTGATTAGATTTGACTTACAAGATTAAATTTTTCCTCTTGTTCATAATCAACTTACTCTTGAGGCCATTACTCTCGGTAACTTATTTGCACGATAGAGCTATAATAATACTTACTTAGTCATTTAGGTGCAGCCACCTGCGTAGAGAGCTGGATTAACCGGATAAGGGCCCTGACTTCAATGCAGGCATTCTCTTTTATTGATAATGTTCTGAGAATTTAAGTGCATAGCATATGGAAGCGCCTTATGCAGTTAGTATTGTAGTCTTGTTGCATTTTATTACTCTCCGAAGCTGCAGATATTCATCACAATATCTAAATAACTATATCCAAGTGGTGTAGGAGATTAAAAAACAACAAAACCATATATGACAAAGTCCGTAGAACTTCTCAAAGCGTCTCGAAATATTTCACAAGTATTGACAGGTGATTATATTGAAGAGCGGTCAGTCGTGCGAGTTATTATGTGGATGTGTTTCTATTGCATAACTTACAGAACCGGTCCCAATAAAATGTCAGACGAGCCGTACAAGCTATTAATATCCAGCTGTTTCTCAGCTACGCCTACATAGCAATTATGGATGGCAACTTCTTTGAGGTGAATTAATAACATCTTTTCAACCTTCCTAATTTGGTAGAGTTTTTTTTTAATAACAAAAACGTTTAATATTATACTTTAAATTGTAATGTGAAAAATATTTTGCGTAACACGTAACGTAATTAGTTTGAGAATAAATAAGTTCTCGAGTAAGTTTTGTTTGAGGATATTCGTGTGTCATCAGGTTTTGCTAACTATCTACATTGTAACCTACAGTTATTAAATGATGATATGTGAATTATTAGGCAATTACGAAACACATTGCAATTATCTACTGGAATATAAACATGTTCTTGTTACACAAAGTTTTATGGTAAGCATTATATATTTTACATATTTTAATATCGTACTTATCAACTTACAATCTGCGTAGTGTAGAATTATATTTAGTTATTGTAATCATTTTAACATTACGCAGCGGACGCGTGTAATTCATGGTTTAGTGAACCGACAGCTGCTCTTATACCATTGACAACGATGCGGGTGAAGTATTCATAGATATTAAATGATAGCCTCGCAACAGCGCACCTGCCCAGTTTGCTCAATCAATAAAAACTACTGATAGAACTTGAAAAGAAACTTAAGGGATAAAGGATGTATTAAAAAGTCAATAACCACTACGATGCGAAAATGTAATATTGCAATTATTACTTTGTAATGACAAAATAGAGAAACATTAACTAATTATAAAGTTAATTAGATATTTATTCCCTAAGTATCACTCAACATTGATGGTAACTTTTTGACTATAACAAAGTTAAAAAACTTGTAATTACGCTATGTTTGTAAAATCTACTACCCGGAAATTGTTAAATTCAAAGATGAGTTTTCTTAGCACTACAAGTTAACCAATTAATTTAAAAGTGGTTTTATACTCGTACATATTCCTTCAGCCTTTTACTTTAACCAAAACAGGCTAAGAAAACCGATACCCGTTGTTTGACATGCTTATTACCGTCTTAAATATTCAGCGACGATATCTTCTGGCCTTAAACATGATAATCATATAAATAAAACCCTTATATTTGTCTTTAAAACGACACAGTTTTTACAATTTTTGGAATATTTTATAATCTATTAGTTGTCGCCCGCGAAATTAAAAAAAAACTCATTAATCCTATGTGTTCTTCCAGACTGTGTTCTACATCTATGCCTAATTTCAGCGAGATCCCTTGAGTTATACTGGAAATACCGTCTAACAAACATCCATACATCTATAATCCAAACATTCTCATTAATAATATTCGTAAGAAAATGTCTGTTATGTAATAATAAAATTTCCTTATATTGTTCCAGGCACAACCCAGGAGCTCGAGCAAATCGAAATCAACAAAAAAGGTAAAAAGCTTTTTGGTTCCATTGGCCATTCACGTATAAATAATTCAATGGGCATACATTGATCACGTTACATGTTGGAACGATTTTAATACCAAATGATCTGAGTACGGTTGTCGTCATTGTAATGCGACCTCTTTATGTTTGTTACATTTTATATATCACTCTCGGGCTCCCGTCTTATTTCAGAAATTTAACACGACGATTAAATTCCCTGGTATTCCACACAAAGAAATGTAATGATACTGTAAATAATGCTTAATATAATTTACAATACTGAGGTGTCATCTTATCATCAAGTTATTCTCTGTACTTTGTGATTTTCTAATCGTACCTAACGTATCGTAACCTTTGCATCTTTACTATAGTTAAAGAATCTTGAATCTAGTCACTACTACTGTAAGTGGCTACAGTTTCCGCAACCCCAAGTCTAGCGCGTATTTTGCGTGAATGAACCTATAAATATACTGGACTACATAAATAAAAACGTATACAATTAATGTATAAATTGTACATGTTCGTTGATCATTTTCAAACTAATAACACAATATTTTCGGGCGTATTTTATTTATATTTATTTATTTCTAGAGTAGATATATCGTACTTTACGAAAAGCTTAAGGATCTTTAACTCGTTTGAAAATAAAATCAGTATTCTTATCAAGTATTCCTTAATTTAACATTCAAAGTAGTGTTTTTGTGTCTCGAGCGTCATCTGCGTATGTATGCGGCTTGTTTATACATCTCAGTATTCGCGCTTCGAGAAGCATAGGTCACCGAGGACATGAAATACATTTGTTATTATCATTACGTTATCTAAATTTCAATTCGGCATCCGAGTAACGGGGTCACCACGATTTTGATAAATATTTCTACATAATTCTTTATCCTATCGTTTAATATACTTCGCTGAAAAGAATATTTACAAAGAAATAATATTCTTTAAGCCGACGTTATGTATCGACCTGTTTATACTTTTAAATATTAATATTGTTTGTTGCTTTAACAAAATATCTTCTCTATCTTGTCTCAAAAATATTGCAAAGTATTGGGTTTGTTTTGTTTTTACGCGCAAACAACTTAAGCTACCTTTTTTATTATTTCTTCCACGGAACTACTACTTACTGTTTCGGATACGATTAGTTATAATTGCTAAAAAGTGTTTATGTATTGCCAAAACAATTTGTCTATGGTGACTTTAGAATTAATTAGAGAAGACTAGTAATGACTTTATAATTTATATTTTCCGTTTGCTTCATTTAAAATCTAAATTTATTAAATAATCTGTTGACATTACAACTTTATATAACAACATGCAAATTCTGCATCCATTTCGCTAAGTATTTGTATTATAGCACATAAGATTGCTAACGTTGAATAATAAAACAAAATAATAAGAGTCGACGTTACCAAATATCAAGGTGTGTGCGTCAAATCTTGTATATCTTAAAACATAGCTATAATTAAATGAATATTCATGACACGAACCGCTTCGAAACAATTTTATAGCAGCGTCCCAGAACCGGTCTCTTGTTTTTTTTGTCGATGTTGTTGAACTTGTGATCGTGCGTTGAGGCAATTATGGCTGTTATGGACTGCGGCTTACGATACAATGTGTATTTATGGCCACCTGTTTATTAATGCGTTCAAGTGATATGATGAATGCAACGGTCGTTTGAGCACCGCATCCGCTTTATGTGACGTGTAATCGCTCCAAATAGTTTAAATTGGCATCTAAACTGTGCCAACTGGAACTGGGAAGTGTTTAATTTTGTATGTTGCTAATCTTCAGTTTCTATGGCCAAATCTCTTTATAAAACATTAAGACATCGCTCTCGTTATCTTCGACGAAACCTCTATAACAATATGTTTTATGCAAGGATTTTAGTCTCGGAAATCAACGATTAGTGAGTCAAATAGGTAAATTTAAAAATAGAAAAACACAATTCTAAAATTTTAAACGTAATTTTCCAAACTGTTTTATATCTTATTATTATCAAAAATTTAAGGGGCTTTTGCCAATGTTAATCTAGATCTTAATCTCTAGAGATTGATTTTTAAATTTTTAAATAAGGTATTAGAAAACCACAAATACTAAAAGATTTCTACCTCTTTTTGCATATTGACATTGAAGCCCATTATGGCATGTTTATTTCGCTTGCAAAGATTGGCAATACACAAAGGTCGGAGAACAATGCCAGCGCAGCACGCGGGAGGTCAGACGAACAAGTCTGACTAGTCCGTGAGCTCGAGCAAGAAAGTCGCCGGTGAAAGTACGCCGGTGAAGCTAATCCGTTCCACAGATAATATAAAAAATACATTTCATAACACGACTCGTAACAAAACCGGTTCTTTTTTGTTTGCTCTCCTCTTACACGATAATCTTTTTATTATATTCATTATACGAAATGCCTTGTAATAATAATAAACTGTACCGTCACATTTTAAAAAAGCTTACCTGATGTTGCTTTTATAAGTGGCCTTGTTTTTTTTTACTTTGGACACCGGTATAAAGTTTTAATAAATTTGTTACATTCTAAAGGACACTGTTATTTCGGATACCTGCTTGTCATGCTCGCCCCTGAAGCGATTCTTTTATTCATCCCGTAAACGTCTGTCACGGACGAAATTGTTTGCTCTTTACAAATCAAATTGTATAATAATGTTTTATTCTGAATTCGTGAATATTTTGTCACCGAAAAATATTTATGTACTTTATCATTTACAATTTTCTTTTAAATTTTATGACATCGATGTTATAAGTATTCAATACGTTAAGAATACACAGAATTTCATACCCAATAATAAAAAGTTAGTCCTATGTTTCGCAGTACTAATACCAGTTTAAGTTTTTGGTATTTGTTCTGCAATAGCAGTATCCTAGTTCTAGTACTAACTAAGGCTAAAACTAATGATGCAACTAAAACAAAATCATTGTAGGAATCATTTTTGATTTGCCATACATACGTTGTATTCGTGGGTCGCCTCCCCCGAGGAAATAGAGTAACTATTACATCTAAGATAAACAATTTACCAAAATAAAAAATTAAGCCTAACTTAAACCTTTCAGAGTCGCCAATATAATTAACGTTTAATAAGAAACTAAATCCGGTTCTTATTTATGTTTCAATGATTTGCGAAGTGGACAAGCAGCAGGCGGGCAAAGGTAGAGAGGTAGCGGGTAGCGGTAGTACCGTTATAATTGGCAGTCTCCCGCACTCCGCCACCAGCGAGCGGCCTGGCGATTGCCTTTATTGCATTAATGAGCCCGCATATTGAAAGTTCATCGCCCTACAGACGGATCTAATGTTTGCCATTTGTTAACAATCGCCGCGGAGCGTACTCACAGCGCGGCCTCGACGTTGGACCAAATAACTTTCATTCAATTAGTGTTCTACATTTATTGATACGTTTGTATCTATTTTCTGTCCGTGGTTTGGCATATTGCGATAGTAAATCTACCAATATTGCTCGTTCATTTATTACACGAATATTATCTTTGATGGACATTTTTCATACCGTTTTATTGGTTTTTGATTCGAAATCATTAGGGTTTTAACTAAGATAGATTATTACTATTACCACTATAGAAATTATTAAATTTTTCACATCCTGAGTCGTTGTACACCAAATGTATAGGCTCGCAAAGACAGCCATAATTCCTTTGTTCTTTTTTATACTTGTTTAGAAATGATGATGATAGATTTACAATAAGTTGTAATGATAGAAGTACAAAATGCATCTGCAAGCAATGGCCAAACAAAATGAAATACTATTTATTAAACGTAATTGAAGCGATGTCCGCCAGAATTCCTTATCAACTTTATCAATATCTTATCGACTGTCTCGTTATGACAACGCTTTGTATTTGTGCATTTTTATCTGTTTTATATCTGTGATATCTAATCATATCAAAATTATAAGATTTATTAGCGTTCCTTTAGCGTGTCGTATAAATATCGATTACTAAAAGTAATTTTCCGTTTGATAGATAAAGTTATGTTATCGAATTTCACAGAAATGGCGCAGAATTGCATCTTTTTTTATAGATAAGCTGTAATGAAAAATATCTTTGTTTTAATCATAATAGTTTTGTGAGAGTGTTTGTGTAGCTAAAAAGGTAAACTAGAGACATATAACGATATAAAATAAGTTGGCATATATGGTCTGCTATAAACGAAACAATCCAATAAAGTCTGTCCTAATTGGAACGTTTAGACAGAGTAACTTTCATTTTTGAGCGGTTTTTAATCTGCGATCAAATATGGCGGCTTTTTCCAACATGGTGGCATAAGGCGCACACGCGTTTGCAACCGGTTCGCAGGCGTGCAGTTTCGCGTGACTTTCTATAACAACCGCATGCCCTCGCCTGATCGCCTCACACTTAGTAATTGCTCTACCCATAGCCAATTGCCAACACCAGTTATTGTGAACTAAACCATTTCTTTTCATTACATGTTTTCATTTTTATTAAGGCTTCTCCCTGCAATTCACTGACCCTAGGTAAAAAAAATACTTTTAAATAAATTCCCACATTTGTGTTAACTGTATTGTAAACTTGAAACGGTTAAGTAAGTCAAGCTGATTTTTTTCTTATTTAGTTAAAATCGCAAAGCAAAGTCTCATCGGTCGACTCCGCAGAAAGGTTAATTGTTTTCCACTCATTACATTTCTCGCATTGTTCCCCGCTAACTGTAAACTGCCGAGTACAATGAGTAATTGTTGTGTTTCCTCGGAATCAACTCACTAACAAACGTTAATAATTATATTTACGATACCTACACAGTTTGCAAAACATTATAAACCAACAGACCTAATTAATGTGTATGAAGTCAAAAAAACTATGATTGATAGCTTTCATATCAATAGATCTATAAGTGTAATGGCCTGTCGATTGTGGCAGCGCGTGATGTTAGAGCCTCGATTATATATACTCCATCACTTCACAAAGCAATAATGTATTTTCTAATACTAAATTTAAATTCTAAGAAAATGCAGTAAAAT